TTCGATAATAGCCTCAAGTAACTCTTTCTAATTATATCCTTTAGGCATTTTCCAAAATATGGACTTCATCTGTATTCCAGGTCTCTGGAAACGCTTGTCCTAACTAGTTTTCAGTCCTTGTGAGTCTTATTAACTCCTGAGGTCGTGGGCGGGATGTTAATGCCTGTAGCATAGGACTTGCAGTAGGCACTAGGTACTCTCTGTGCCTATCCAGGCATTATTATTTTCCTCTCCACAGTTTCTAGTAGGAATCTGTTCTCTTGCTGCTTCTAACTGGGTGCGAGTCTCTGCTTCCCCTCTGTGCCCTTCACTGTCCTTAGCGGGTGGGTCTGTGGGATTTCTAATTTACCCTTTGTGTTCATTCTCCCACCCAACCATTATGGAGCACCTTCTTGGGCAGGATACTGAGGTACATCTGGGGAGAAGTAGCCTGTCTGAGACCTTGGCATGACCATCTCCAGGTCTTCCTTGGTTCTGAGTTCAAAATTCTGACCCTGAGTTACTTTAATCTGATTATAGGTATTATCTAATTGTGATCATTCTCTGACACTTTGGAAAAGTTTTAGGGAGTTCTGGGGTTAGCAGGCCCCAGGGGGGAGCTTGTCCTCCCTCTTCACACACACCCCTGGTTCTACTCCAAAATTACTCCTGTCTTCCACAGTAATGAGGCCCCGGAAATAGGTACAGGAAGGGGGCGTACGATAGCAGGGGGGCACCCTTGAGCTGTCAAGTCTGGGTGGGTCAAGGAGCGCCCCGCACCAATAGGCAGAGAATGGGGCTGTTCAGAGAGAGATTGGGGCATTAGAGAATAAAGGCACATCCGTCTAGTCTGACAGGGAAGCTTTTGGGGTTAGCTTTTCAGCTTAGTTGAACTCAGCTGTACTTGTTCACGTGCTAAGGCACAGTTTATTAAGGAAAAATGGAACCGTTTGTGTTAGCTGAGCTTGACTTATTACCACTGATAATTGTCATTGAGCTGTGTTTTTAATTTGGTCATTTTGCCAGGAATATAAATCAGACATTACTCCTTAGATCTTTTGGGTAATTAGGAAGATTGGCAAGCCTCCATTTTTCTTGAATTAAGTCATTATCCTATTTGTAATATGGGATTAAATGTGTTAAGTGAAGGAAAGGCATTTTTAATTTTTTTGAAAGACAGTTGCAACTTAAGCATGTGGGCAAAATTAGTTTTAGTGGCTTGTTTTGCATATATATTTATGAATTTTAAGCTTTTTTTTTCCTAATCACAAATACAATAAATGTTCATTAGTAATGTAAAAGAGAAAAGCATAAAGAAATAGGACCCCACATGCAATCTGACACCCAGGGAGGATCGCTGTTAATATTTAGGTAAAGTATCTAGACTGCCTGGTTTACCAAACAAATGTAGTTTTTATATAAAAATGGGGGGTGTTCTGCCTCATCCTTCCCTCCTGCCACTTAGTAACAGAGCATGACTGTTTTCCTGAATGGCTTTGCAGTTTATCATAAAGCATTTTACTGTCATAATTTAGTTAGCCAGCCCTTAAATATTGGACATTGACTTGTTCTACAACTAAAGTGAATATAATTATACTCATCTAGTTATTTTCCTAGAGCAATGATTTTATTGGATATGCATTTTTATTTTTTTAAAAGATTATTTGAGGGGGGAGAGGGGACAGGTTGGGCTGGCACACAAGCAGGGGGAGGGGCAGAGGGAAAGGGAGAGAATCTCAAGCAGACTCCCTGCTGAGCGGGGAGCCTGATACAAGGCTCAATCCCCAGGACCCTGAGATCATGACCTGAGCCGAAACCAAGACTAAGCCACCCAGGTGCCCCTGGATATGCATTTTTTTTTTTAAAGATTTTATTTATTTATTTGAGAGAGAATGAGAGACAGCACGAGGGAGAAGCAGACTCCCTGCTGAGCAGGGAGCCCGATGTGGGACTCGATCCTGGGACTCCGGAATCATGACCTGAGCCGAAGGCAGTCGCTTAACCAACTGAGCCACCCAGGCGCCCCCGGATATGCATTTTTAAAGGGATGGATGTTAAACATTTAAAAATTACTTTGACCGAAAATATCTAGCTGAAAATGAAGGTGAATATTTCTCTAATCTTGGAATGAGGAGGGGCTTCCTAAGCACAAAAGTATTAGAAGCAATTGCAAAAAGATACTAGATTTGACTTCAGAGAGATGAAAAAGCTATCCTTTATTTCAAGTGATATAAACAGAGAGGAAAAAGCAGTCATTTACTTTTTCTGGGGAAAATATCTGCAACATGACAAAGGGTTAATGTCCTTAATCTGTAAGGAGCTCTTACAAGTGAATAAGAAAAATCAAACCTACTGAAAAAAATGGACAAAAGGCACTTTAACAGTTCATAAGAGAACTATAGACACATGGATCAAAGAAATCAAGATTGAAACCAGATGTCATTCTTTGCATGTCAAATTTGCAAAAGTTAAAAAAAAAAATCTGGGACTGGCAAGTGAAGTTAACATACAGTTTTCTTCTCTTGTGCTTTCTTTGTTAGTTTGTCAGTTTTCCCAGAAGGAATTGGGAAGGTTTCCCATTTCCTATTTCGTTATCAGGAAGGTTAGGATGTAACTATAAATTTGTCTTAAGCCTGGCATCTTTTTTTGAGCACAGTTCTTTGCTTTTGTGATTTTCTCTTATTTGTGTACTGTTATTCAGGGTTTTAAAAAATTGTTTTAAGGAAATTGCCCATTTCGCCTAGATTTTTGGGTTACATATATGTGCTGCTTTTAAGTCAGTTAAAAAATACAAACTCAGTGTAAAAGCGTGAAGAGTACATAGTATCTTGTGTTTGCCCTTGTTTTCAGAAGATATCCTTTGTCCTGTTCAGCAAGTATTTTGTTTCATGAAAGAGGTTTTGTATTTGTTTTTTTGAATTAGGAGTAGGTATTTTGTCAGCCTTTTTTGGCATCTACTGAATTGACAAAATGATTTGGTTGCTCAGTTTCTGGCCGGTGAATGGTACTGGCCCCGGGGCTATATCCTCCCTGCTTCTGAAGTATTAACATCCTTTTTTAAGGAAATGGTAAAATACAAAGGTAACAGTTCTGTATGTGTCTGTTACCCCCCCCCCCCGCCAGTTTTTTGGTATGTTTTTTCCTCTGTGAAATCAAAACCTGGAAACCATAGCACTTAGGACCTTTGCATACCCCAGTTAAGAAACTAGAGAAGAGCTGTGAATATTTTCTTGTGTGTTCAGAGTGTTCTTTCCGGGGGAAAGTCAGGTGGGGCGTCATTGAGCTCCAAGCAGTGTTTCCTCTGAACTGCTCACAGGGGCCTGGGCTTTGATCTCAGCCTTGTAACCTTGTGTGCAAAGGGCAGGTCTGCACATTTCCAGAGTGTGGTGCCATACAAAGGGGAGGGGTGCAGGCTGACGGTGGGACAGAAGTTCAAGGATGCGCACTGATAACTCAGGCTTGCTTTTGTTGACTGGCTCCTCCTGTTAATTTCTCTCTCAAAAATACATTTGTATTTTTCCAGTATTAGAACTTCTGACCCGATTCTGTATTTTGGTCTCTTGATAGTCTAGTGGAGTAGACAGCCAGTCCTTCCAAACACTGGTTTTACTAATCAGCTTAAAAAATACTTTCCAAAAACAAATCTTCATGGGGTCATAGTACTTCCATTTGCCCCTTTACAGTTTTTCTCTGATTAGTAGCTAAAGTGACATTTTGTTAATTTGCAGTTTTGCCCTTCATGGAAGTTTTTTGCTTAATTAATATTTTTTAGCCTTTTAAAGGATTTACGAAAGAAGCATACACATGCTGGAAAATAATTCTAACTTGTCAGAATTGGATAAAGCAAATTTTGAAAGTCACATGAGCCTCTTTTACCCCCTACACTTAAAGGCGGTTTGATCTTTATCCTTTCCGGCCCTTTCTTCTGTCTACGAATCTGTTCTATATAATTACACTTTTAATAAAAATGGGATTATACTACACATATTGTGTAACTTGAATTTCTCAAAGGACATCATATATAATTTCAGTTTAACTGAAAATAAGCAGTTCTAGAGCATTTCTTTGGTTACTTTTTTCCCTGGTATTTTCATTATTCCTCTTCTTGACTAATCTTCGTTGATGGATGTTGCCTTGGTGCTTTTCTTCTGACTCTGTACATTTTTAATAAACATAGCTTAGAATAGATTTATGGTTATGAAGATTTTGTTTTTGGAAATAAATTACCTTTTTATTCCTCCTTGAATGCAGAATGTTTTAGCAAGAGAAAAACAGTTTCTCCATGCATATGCTCATCAGTTAAAACGAGTAAAAATTTTTTTGTCTCAAACAGCAAAAGACCAATGTTTAGTTTCCGAAATTAAAAAAGTAGGATCACTGGAGACTTTTTCAAGGCTGGACTGGTACAATTCCGATGGCA